AAAGAAAAAGAAAATAGAACGAATGTCGTATATGATTACAATTTTTTTTATTTGTTAAATACATTTACGAAAAATTAAGAGCCGTGGAACTCCGTATACAGAGCAGAATTTGGACTAGACCTGGTTGCATTTCCATTCTTGTAAGTGTTTGACCCAAAATTTCACATATTTGGCATTTACCTCCCCATTATTTTATTATGTTATTAAATAACATCTTGTGCTAATTAATAATACCCAGATAATATATATATATATGTTCCTCATTTCGAGTACTCAATTCAATTATTCAGTTTCGCAAAAAAAAAAAACACAAATAATATCGTGTACATGCACTTGCACTCTCTTTCCTCTTATGTTCCTCCATTTGTCTGTCTATCTCTATATATACACACACACCAAACCTACGTGAAGATAGCAAAACAAGAACCCATCATATCTCAAATTCATCTCTCTAATCTTATTTTTTCTCACAGGCCCATTTCTTCAAATTCTTGACAAAACACAATAAAACAAAATGGACGCCGAGAGCTCTATAGAAGATAGGACCACCAGTACCAAATCCTTCTCCGACTCCACTCTGGTGTCGGCGGAGGCGGAGGAGACGGCGAAGCTGTTGTCTCATCCGGCGGTGAGACTTTACCGTATGGTAAGCGGAGGCAGTGTCGTTTCAGATTCCGACAACGTTAACGGCGTGGAGACGGAGTCGCGCAAGCTGCCTTCGTCCAAGTACAAAGGCGTCGTACCGCAGCCAAACGGCAGGTGGGGTGCTCAGATTTACCAGAAACATCAGCGCGTGTGGCTCGGAACCTTCAACAATGAATCAGAGGCGGCGCGTGCTTACGACGTCGCCGCCCGGCGGTTCCGCGGCCACAACGCCGTCACGAACTTCAAATATCCGGCGAACGACGGCGGCCAAAATGTCACTGAATCGGCCTTCCTCGAGGCTCACTCCAAGGCCGAGATCGTTGACATGTTGAGGAAACACACGTACGAGGATGAGCTTGAACAAAGCAAACGGAGATTCCACCTGTCGGTAGTTGACGGTAACGGAAAACGTTACAAGACGAGGGAAGCACAAAACGACGCCGTTGGGGGCAAAACGCGTGAGATGCTCTTCGAGAAGGCCGTGACGCCAAGTGACGTCGGGAAGCTGAACCGTCTCGTGATACCGAAGCCGCATGCGGAGAAGCACTTTCCGTTACCGACGACGACGGATAACGGTAACGAAACGGCGTCGCCGTCGCCGTCGACGAAGGGCATGTTGATGAACTTCGAAGACTTAACGGGGAAAGTGTGGCGGTTCCGTTACTCGTACTGGAACAGCAGTCAAAGTTACGTTTTGACCAAGGGATGGAGTCGATTCGTGAAGGAGAAGAATCTCCGAGCCGGTGACGTGGTCAGCTTCGAGAGATCGACCGGGTCGGA